GAAAGAGGAAACATTTCTCTACAAAATGCACGGCCAAATGATATTTTAACCGTGAAGGTGATGGAACGGCCATCAAATCTTTTACCGGGACCAGAAAATTTTTTTGGTCCCGATGCCCATCTCTAGTTATGAAGCTCTAATTAATTATTCATTAAAAAAATTTACTCTTCTCGATATTGTCTGTTTCATGGTAATACAAAAACAAAGTTGTTTTCTGTCTGTAAACCAGTAAATATCTGCTTGACATCTCCAAGATAGAAATTGCCTGGATTACAGGCTATTGAAAATCATCAGTCTGCCACTTTATCGTAGCCCCAATGCCGTCCGCAATACGCTTCCCGTGTCTGGCTTCGAGACGTAACCATGTTAATTTAATTCTTTTCACCGTAGCAAATGATTTCATTAAATACATGACCGTATTATAACGGTATTGACTCCTTGATCCTCTAAGAATCTCACATTAGCATTTTTTGGCTCTAAGGTTTTTGTACAAGGTCCTACAAGATTCTACAAGATTTTCGTAGGGACTTACAGGATTCTGCGGTAGGATTGTTTGACCTGGGAATAAAAAGTCTTGAAAAACGACGTAACAATTGAAGAAGACCGATAAAATCTGGTTTTGTATGAATCTATAAGTGTTCAAAGGTCTCGAAATGAACACGATTAGATCCGCCTCGACGAGAGCATTCGATTCGTATATAGAAAAGTTGGATTCATTTTAGTTTTGATGCTTTTATATCAAAAATACTCGAAAAAAGCACGACGTTACTTTTTAGTTGAAAAATGACGTTTTAAACTGACAAGGGAACCTCTTGAGGTTATAAATCTCAGATTACTTTTATCTTGTAGATCCCAGTGAGTAGTGAAATACTCCAAGTTGGTTTGTGTCCATGGTGCTTTGATGCTGAGATATTGGATTTTTAGTCAGTTTTTGCCTATAAAGCTTGGATTTCGAGCAAAATCCGACTTTCGAATTTTGATTTCAAACTTGTTACACTTGTAGTCCATGGTCATATTAGTACAACGGAAAAATATTCGATGTTAATGAATTTTCCTGCCTTGAGATATTGAGGCTCGAAAGTAACTCGTAAGAGTGACGGTCAGATGTTCGAGTCTCAATATCTTAAGGCAGGAAAATTCATTAACATCGAATATTTTTCCGTCGTACTAATATGACCATGGACTACAAGTGTAACAAGTTTGAAATCAAAATTCGAAAGACGGATTTTGCTCGAAACTCAAGCTCTGACTAAAAACCCAGTATCTCAGCAACAAAGCACCATGGACACAAACCAACTTGGAGTATTTCACTACTCGCTGGGATCTACAAGATAAAAGTAGTCTGAGTTCAAAAGCGATTTATAACCTCAAGATAAAGAGACTTTAAGACTCTCGCGAGACTTTAAACTTTTCTCCTGAACGAAAACGTTTTGGGCATTGTCCTTTAACAGTAGATTCTATAAGTGTCGGGCTATTTTTTGACTATTTGAGGTTAGATTTCGATGAAGCTTATCGGAATTTTGTTGCAGCCACCAGACGTGTGCCACTAAAATTATTACAAAAAATGTAACGTATATCCTCGGTATCTGTCAACGAGTACCAGACAGTTTCGTTTTTTAGCACCGTAACTGGAGTGAACTGTCAGGGGTAAAAACAAAATACAACTTTTGAAATTGGATAATTGGAACGAAAGAAGCAGGCTTGCCAGTAATTTGCTATGAAACGGTACAAATCAACTGCAATTCTCCTACATACACATAATAAATCTAACTGGATGTTTTTAATCATTTCTGCATTTTTTAATTTTTCCTTTAATTCGTTTTATCTGCGTTGATAAGAATTTTTGGATTCAATATGAAATAATAATTGAACTGGATCAAAAATACAATATTTCTTTACTCTTGCAAATACTCATTCACATCCATTTTGTAGAAGTGTCTCCTTTGCTACGAACAATATATAGTAGCGAATGTATCAAAAGCTGGTTTTTTTCTTAAAAAATTTTCTTTAAAAAAAATCTTTAAAATTTTATTCTTCGTTAAAATAAATGAACAAGTATACACAAAAGGTCCGGTATTTACAAATTCACCTGAGCGCAACTCATAAGGTTTTAATATATTGAAAACAACTTGTGGCGTACCTGGATCATCGTATGACATTTATTTCATTCAGCGACGCGCAGAAATCTTCTAAAAAGTCTTATTGAAAGCATAAGCCGGAAGTTCTTTTAAAACGACATTTGAAAGGATTGATTCTTTTTGTTCTCGTAATATAAGTGGCCTCTTTTATCCAATTACGTTATATAATAGCTGTATCAAGCTAGCCAAGGTCTTTAATATTTTCTATCACACTCTGCTCTCACAAAAACAACTATTCTTTTGCTAAAGGAGACAATTTTATTTAGAAAAAAGTGAAGGAGAGCGACTACGAAGTTAAACTGGTTTTACAAAAAAACCTTGGTATTTGTACTTCGTTCGCATCAGCCGAAATACACACATTTTGAGAATGGGTCGCACATTATAGTTCGAAGCTTTTTTTTGCGTTGAATATAGAAAATAAAACCAACACAAAACTGTTCCTGACAACAGAAACACAGAAATGCATCGGGTCTCGTTTCTGCTCCCCTCTCAAGGGATTTTGGCGGTTATACACGTGACACTATCGTAATATTATTTACTTTCATTATATAAAATTTTGATTGAACACGAAACTGAGCAAACACAACAATTACATTCTCATTCTGATCACACAAGAACAACAAAGTCACTACGTGAAAAAATATTTGCTTGATTTTGTGCAAAATGAAATAAATATTGAATATTGCTTGATTCCCTAATATTCTCACTTCCACAGATGTGTACCATATTCCTGGTATATATAAAACATGCAAAAAATTGAAATATTAGCCTAAATAATGTCTCCTTTTTGTTTACACCATAAACAATGTTTAGTGATGTTCATGTTGCAATAAATGTAATTCACTTGCTTTATTATTATCTAAATCTTCTCCTACATGTGCATGAATTCCACCACCTAATAATTGCCCATTTGTCATTTGAATACCAGTAAAATTACTGTCCTTAAATGGAATTGATTCATGATTACTAATACGGGTTGGTATACCGTCTTGATATGATGTTACTTTAACTGTACGATCAATTTCTTTTCCATTTTCATTAATAACCGACGTGGTTGTTTGAGATGTACTTGTTGTTGTTGTAGGTAAGACAAGAACTTTTTCAGCTGCACGAGTTAAATATTCAAGACGGCGTTTACCCAAATAATAAAGAAGAATTGATAAAAATACTAATGCCAATATACATGACAATAAACCAACCAGCACAGCGTTATAACCATTTGAATAAACAATAGTCGACGGTGGACAGGATTTGACCGTTAAGTCTTGTATAGCGACAGCTGCACCAACACGCTCACCATTTTCAGATGTGACATTGGCCACTTTTAAGACAGAAACTAAAAATAGACAATACTGTAACTGTCAGGCACAAGAGGGTAAAAAAATGTTTCTACCAATCCTGTACTAAGGACAAGTTGTAATACTTGCTTTCTTCTTATTCACTAGAGCGGTTGCACATTCGTTGTATGATTAATATTTATTACCAAGAATCCGATGTTCTTCAGTACATTTTCAGGTTAAGCAGAATATCACAGACAATGTGATCAGTATAACAGTTTATATCCTTATTTAAAATTCGAGACATGAGAATTCTTGTTCCTTCCACACGCGGTACTATGAAAGATACAATGTCGAACAATAAATCGACAGCGGACATAATGAAATCTATTTGAAGAGATTTCTGCTGCTTGGAGAAGAGATCTTAATGAGTAGCTGACAATTCTCTAGGTAATCATCTTTTTCCTACGAAACTGCAAGAATGGTGTAGTTTCTACTATTTAAATACAATAACGAGATAAAATTTTTGGGCTTACATGTGGTTGTGGTTGTTGTAACGCCACTATTATGAACACGCTGTGCATTATTGTCAAAAACCATGTTTCCGAATTTGAATATTGTGTATAATCGAACAGTAACTAAACTGTATTGCTAGTAAAGAGTGTGTATATATGTACACGTACTCGCTTAAAGAAATGAACGTTCGTTTCTTTTCCAAATAGGAGAATGAGAACGTTTTTTTTGCTAAGAAAGTCGACTGTTCATCTATATATAGATGTGTAAATCTATGTAGTCCATACAGACGTCTATTGTTTTTCTGTTTCTCCTTTTTTCAGGGTCAAGTATTGTTTTAAATCGTGCCTACATGGCATAAAATGACTCATATGTGTACGCACAACTGTACTATGGCAGTAATAGACTGAAACCGGCGAACGTTTCTTTTTTGTCGATTTGAACTCGTCCAGTTATGTTTGTGTTGGCGTCTGCTCAACAAATATATATGTATAGACATATATATATATATGGAAAAACAATAACAACCAAAAATATATCAAAATGACTATAAAACATGATCTATCTTCTCTATAGACAGGAGAAGATATATCTATCTAAAAGAATAAAATGAGATGTTCCAGCTAATGGATGATTATTCTCTTCACTAATCACTCATTATACATACGGTGATGTCAAAACTTTCAGCACTTTGATATTTGTTATGATCAATAAAGCTACACTAAGAAAAAATAACAATATACAATAGAATACAAATACAATAGTGTATCTATCTGTATCATGAAACTCACTAATCGAAAAATCGATTTTGAGAAGGGAGAGCCCTTGTATTTAGTATATGGTAACTAGTCGGTTAGTATGGATTTCTGCCCATTGCTTTTCTGAGATGCTTTTCATTGGATTTTATACAATTTTCAGCGAACTTAAAGCTTCTGAAGCCTAGGAGACAAATTTATAAATTGATTTTTCTGAAGTAATGGATAAGGACACCAGTGCTTAGTAAAACCAACTTTTTTCGACTCCGGCGCGGAGCTAGCGTAAAGTTTTATATAGGAAAATAATACATCGAAAACCGAACACAATGGAGTGTGACTTACCAGATCGTTAAAGATTAATAGTTAACGTATTACGCTATTAAGTAGTAGACGGACAACGAAACACTTATCATTATCGTTACAGCAAATTCTTAGTCTGAACGACCAATGGCACAAAAGGCAAAACGTATGTAACACAGACGCATTCGGCCCAGTGCAATTCCAGCCTCGGCGCAGTGGGATTTCATGGATTTTGTGCAACAACTGGAAGTTGGCCTAATAGTTAAAAAATCCTGCTTGCGTCCTTGCGTTCGAAGAAAATTTAATCAAAGTAGACACCGACTGCAGCGACTCTTCAATTGAAACTTTGCACATGAAATGATCGTTATAGGTTAAGTACTTTTCATGTGACGTTTCTAATGTTTTTCTGCCTAGGCGTAATGAAACTTAAGCCGTAATATCAATTGTTATTATGTTGGAGTAAAAATACACCTCGACTGGCAGTTGAAACCAGGAGAGATTGCTAGTTTGCGCAAACAGTGCTTGCTCAACAGTGTATTGATAGAGTAAAAGCACCTCTCGAATGGAACAAGATCCTAAGATAGATAAGACTTTACTGTTTCTTTCCCAGAAAAGTCAGTAAGAAAAAAAATTGCAACATCCAGGCTTCAATCGAAAAGTAGATGGTTGAAGACATCTATTTTTTGCACATGTTTACCCAGATAAAAAGTTTCTCCAACTCGTGTTAACACGAGTTGAATAAGCCTAGGTGAACCACGTTTTGTAAGACCTTTTGCAAGAGTTAATGTTTTCTTGTGAAATCTTGTAATAAGATCTTACGATATGATCTTGTTATAAGATAATGTAAGATCTTATGGGACCTTGTAACTTCTTGTCGTAAGATCTTCGAATTCCTCATTTCCTCATTTACTAATGTTATTCGTTAAAAGTCTTATTCACTACTCGCTATAGACTTGTCTGCTAGAATAGTGGCGTTTGTTAAACTGTTGTTGTTGTCATCAAATAAATTGACACAGATCTTCCAAGATCTGATTATAAGAAGTGACAAGATCTTGTAAGATCTTATATAACCTTGTGACAAGAAAATATATAGAAGTCAACAATATCTGGCACAAAATTTTGTAAGATCTTACAAGATCATATGAATTCTTGTCATAAAATCTTACAAGATCTCATAAGATCGATGACTCATCTCTGACACATAAATTTTGTGACGATACATAGTATATATATAACATCATTCTCTTTGAAAAACTTAAAACTTTTTTCTCTTTTCAACTTCACCCGTCAGCTGAGCACATGTGAAGTGCACGGTTAAGAAACGTGATAAAAGACGGGGTCCTATGCTTGCCTATGACCTGTGAATGTTAGAAATTATATAGAAAAAGAAAATTGCAGAGGTATAGAGAGATTCGGTATGAAACGATCAAGCATATGACCTTGTAAGCATAGATGAATTCTTATAAGTTCATACAAGATTTTGTAAATTGCTATCATAAGAAAAATCTTATAAGAATCTTGATAAGATGTCATATGAAATCTTGTAAGATCTTATAGGAAATTGATAAGATTTTTTGAAATCTTGTGATTTTTTATCATATGATCCTCCAAGCTCGTATATGATCGTGTAAGATCTTCCAAGATCTTGTTATTTGATTCTGAACTCGCCACATTCGGTGCGGTAGTTTTGGATATGGCGATGTAACATTTGAATTCATATTTATATTAATGTATTAATACTTAGAGAGACTAAATAAAACCGATACTTATCAAACGAAATAGATGCTCAAATCGCCTGTTTGTGTTATGAAAAAAACCTGGCTTCTGTACTCTAGTGAAAACTCTCGTCTCAAGAAATGCATGTCCCAAGGTTTTACTGTTTTTTGGCTGGAAAGTTAGCGAGAAAAAACAAGACATAATAGATCTGACTCTTTTGTTTTCTTACCTTTAAAAGTGCCGGAGGTTACTTCTTGTTTTTTCCCACTAACGTTTCTCAAAAAGGAACAGTAAAATGTTAAGACATTCTTTTATCCAGGATCTTCCATTTTCTAAAACGATAGAACTTTCAGTTGGAAAAGCAGTACGTGTCAATATATTTAACTTAAATGTAAAAGAATATTGTTAAAAATAACGCATGTTCTGAAAGGAATATTCAGCAAAATGAAATTGACCAGGTGGTATATTTTGTATTATGAAACATATCAAATTCTTTTTCAATGAAAAAAAAATATACGAACAGGATCCATGTAGAAAAGTAACACAAAATGAAAGAAAGTAAGACATCTTTTATTACAACAAGAAGCAATAACAATTTCCTAAAAAAAGTTTTCCATCAAGACTGTGTATCTGATTCATCAATTTCACCATCTTGCGAATCATCGTCTGAATCTTGATAATAAAATAATTCATTTTTAAACGGTGCTCTTGATTCATGTTGTTGATGAAATTTAGTTTGATTATTACTCCTATTAATCAACTGATGATGAGACGGCGATTCATTTACATAAGGAAATGTGTAAGATGAAGGACTGTCAAGTAAATTTGTTTGTAAAGTTTTCGGTATTTGTGATTGCATAATTATTGACGGAGGATTATTTGATGAAGATCGTGAACGAGTAGGAATTACTGGTAAGACTCTTGTTGATGTGTCGATATTACGCTCGGATCTTGATGGTGAGGTTGACGGACTTCGACTTTTAGTTAATAATAATGTTGAAACTGGTTGATCATGTAGACTAGAAACTGTGTCTGTTGAAGGGCTTGATAATCTTAAAAACATGGAGAAAAAGAAAGATTTATACCATTTGCACCGTAACATCCGTTTTACCTGGTAGATGATGGATGATTATTGCCGGGTTCGTGTTGAGACTGTGGACTAGTACGATCTCGAAGTTCGCCCAGCGAATGTTTGGAATCGATCGAATCACTATGACTTTCATCTAATAACGGTGTTTTTTGCTCTATAGACGATGATCCATCACCATTTTCTAAAACAGAAGTTCAGGATTTATTGATTGAAATCCTTCTTTCCCAGCAGAAATTTAAAATTTATTTAAAAAATAGAGACTGAGCTACCACAATATGTGTGGTATACTATTAATAGTGTCGCTATATCTCGAACTAACTCTCACCTTTGCGATGTTACGTATCTGAAGGATTTCTCACTCAAATTAAATAATGGAGAGCTTGGATTGGTCTCCAACTAACGAAAACACATGTGACTAGAAGCTAACAGACTCAAGTTTTAGAAATTCCATCTGGTTTTTCCCTGTAAAGTATTTTTTCAAAAATATTCATCAACAGTTTCACAGGTTTTATTGCTGAAGCTTTCCATGATTCGAAAAAGGAGAAGGAATCGGGGGCGCTATTAGCCTCTACTCTCTAAAAAGAACTCCGTAGCTTACAAAACGAATATCGGCTCGTGCAGTCCTGTTTAACCATTTCGCAAAATACGCTTGAACGTCTTTTGCTTTATGAAGAAACGGATTTAGGTTTTGAACCACAGAAAAATGTTGAAGTATATTCTGCGAAACGGTTAAGCAGGACTGTACGATACGAATATCGGTTTCTAATAGGAGAAAATGCCAAAATCGATATTCGTTTTGTAACCTTCGGATTTCTTTTAGAGAGTAGTCACATGTCTTAGCTCCAGTTTGAGATCAACCAGAGTTTTCCATCACTTATTTTCAGTAAGAAATCTTGCAAATATAAACAACTCCATTTTGATCCATGATCACTGCGACTATTTCTCTTTTCCGAATACTTACGCGCAGCGTTATAAAATAATACGACTCTTGATGTTCTTGACCCTCGTCCCTTTGAACGTCCGTTTTTGTTCGTATCTCGAATATCTGTCACCACTTCGTCATTGATAAACTGCTGATGCCGTCTAGTATCTGTTTTATCCAAACAAATCTTTTTTTGTTTCAATTTCGGACTTCTATTTGTAGTTATTCGTCTTTCACCATTACCATTCAATGGCAGTTTTCTTCCACTAGACATGACGGTAGTTGTTGGGATATTTGTCGCATTATAGGCTGTTGTAACCGTTGTCAATGGAAGGCGGGCTCGAGGTTGAGGATAAATATAACTATCCGGACTATCGTTCTCTTCTTCATCGTATAATGTTGTAGTCGGATGGACAGACAAGCGAGTATAATCTGAAGTTAAACTACTTGCAATATGTTCTTCATTGAAGGGCATCATTGCCTGACCTTGAGGACGTGCACGATGTTGATTTTGTTTTTCATTAACCGTCTCATGCGATAAATTATGTGTCTGATTTGGTTGACGTACTAAGAATTGTTGTGTTCTCTTATTCATATGATCAACGTCGGGAGAACTCGATTCTTGCCATAAAGTTGGATGATTTGGTCCTAGAGGCCTAATGTTAACAGGTGCAGGAAAACGTTGATAAACAGATACAGGATCTCCTCTTTCGTATGGTAATGCTTGTTGAGCTATTGGTGATTGTATATAAGGCAATCTGTTTAGTGATGGTCTAAAGGTGGGTGGTGTTTGATTTAAAACAAAAGTTTCTTCTTGTGGAAGTCCATTTATTATTGGTTTACTGGTGGTATTGGTAATATTCGTTGGTAACAAACGGCTAGTTCCAGGTGTTGACATAATAGCTGGTCTAATATTTGGAATAGTTGATGCATGATCATTTGATTGCGGAAGATTTGTTGGTAATGATGTGCGAAGAACATTTTCCGGTACACTCAGAGTTTTTCCATAATGTATTTCATCTTTTCGTTTCTAAGAAAAATGACGAACTTTTATATTTCATATATATCATCACTAACATTTAGTATACTTACATCGTCGATATTGCTCATACTGACACGAGAATGAGCGGATGGTGACGGTCTCATTGCATTTGCTATTGTTAACAACGTATTTTCACCGCTCGGACGTCTACTACCAACTTTATTCTTTTTACCAAATAAACTATCAAAATTCTAAAAAATAAAGAAAAAAACAGATAATCGTTTCATCTCTCTTCAAAACGTTAATTACAAACCGCAGTTGATTTGTTAGAACCGGTTCGTCGAAAACTTCCACTTCGTCTAAGTCCAGTCATATCGTAATCACCATCATTTATCACTTCTCTTGAATGTCCTCGATGTTTCATTGCAAACAGAAGACCATCAAATAAACCCTAAAAAATAAATGAGTTAATATCTAGATTTGAGAATGATCGCAGTATAAGCAGAATTGAACATTAAAGAACAGCTATTGCTTTGTTTTTGATGAACCGTTTCATCAAAGCTACAGAAAATTTGTAGTAAATGGACTATGATGAACAAATAAAATTGTAAGTAATTATAGAAAAAGCTAAACGTCTGTAAAAATCAAACCTTTTCACTTATGAGAAACTCTCGACAGATGCGCAGTCGCCTTTTAACTGATATCTATCGGATTATATGTAATCGAGAGTACTGATTACGAATATGATAGTGGTTTCTATTCATGGTGGATTTCTGAAAAACCTAAGTTTTCTAAGAAGCTTCGATTTTAGGTTTTTTCTTCGAAAACCAAATTTTGATATGGCTAGCTTGTAGATGAATGTTGATTTACGTATATCTACAAAGTTTCACGATTATCGAATGAGTTTTCGAGGAGTTGCACATTTTTTAATAATTAACCATTTTCTATGAGTATCAATTACCAGATGAAGTTAAAAGCACCATCACTTCGGCAAAACTAACTCAATAGTTGTGAAAATTTCGGCAAATATACAATTTTGGGCGGTCTACATAGTGGTAGTCTCAAAAATACTACAAAACTATTTTAGATTTCAGAATTTCTAAAAAATCTTTGTTTTCCAGAAACCTACCATGAGCAGAAATGACTATCGTATTCATAATCAGCACCCTCGATTGCATATAACCAGATAGATTTCGGAGAAAACACGTTTGCGGATTTGGCAAGCGTCCTTCGTTAGATTATACTGGCAGAAATAATAATATACAATTCAGAGAAAAAAGTAATTTGTATCACATCATGCCATAAAATGAGGGAATGAATCTAAGGTGAAAATGACATGCAATCAGAATCACTATGAAGTGGAAAATTCAATTCTTTTCTATAAAAACTAAAGAAATTGACTTTATACTGTAGATCAATTCAAAAAACTTCATAAACAGTACCGAAGCAATTATCATTATATTTGATAAATTAATGTAAAAAAATATTATGTGTCAATGTTCATTTGTTTCGCTAATTAAAATGAGTTCATGCTAGATAGAAAATCATGCATTCTTTTTTTTATCGACTGTTGAGATCGCGCAACTGACCTCATCGTCATAAGGAACAATAGTTGATATCACCGATAAACTATCCTAAAAATATAATTGCATTCTATCTATTTATAGGACCAAAAAAAAGCTATTAATTAGACTCTCTCGTCAAATCTCAAATATAAATTATATTTATTAAAATTTTTGTGTTTAATTACCGGCTTGTGTACTGGAATACCACTTTGAACTTGCTTATACAATCTCCAATTGTCTACAATTAACCATATAGCGTATACTTTACCCACTGTCAGTTTTGGAAAGCCTGGTACGCCATGAAGTTCTTAAAGGAAGCAGAGGATCAAAATAAAATGTAGATAATACAGAACATCGTGTTACCTGATGGTGGTGGTACTAGTAAATCTAAAAGTGGCTTTTCTGTATTATCAATTTTTACTACACGTTTCGATTCATTTGGCCAAACTTTCACTAAGACTTGTCTCAATTCTTCATCTGCCTCATCCATTTCATCAGCAACTAAAGAATTAAATAATAATAAGAGATAAGAATAAAATAATTAGACTATATACTGGTTCTCATTTTGATTCCAAGTGATTCGCGTATAAGAGCAAATAATGTTGTCGTAAAATGAACACGTTTTTGATCATCAATAGGCATATTCATTCTTATAAGACGCTAAAATAATTAAATAATTTTTGATTATTATCCTACATTTCAACAATCATAATCCTCTCACTTTGTAAGCAAGTTTGGATGGACATTTTGTACCAAAACCAACTGGTGGACTCATCAATCTCAACATTTCGAACATTTTTGTATACTCAATTCGACCACTAAAAAATTAGACAATCATCATTATTACGAACATGTAAATGAAAATACATACGTTCCATCTGAGTCATATTCCGACCATGCTCGTAAAAATTCATCGAGATGGTGTGCGCCAAGGATGGATGAGTCACGAGTTAAATAATCAAAATTATCCATAATAACAGCGACAAATAAATTCAACATCTAAACACGTGTATTGATTAAAAAAAAACAAATGATACAAAAAAAGATTCAAGTATAAAAAGACATATTAGTTTTGTATTTACTTACTAGAAATGATGATAAAAATACAAATGAACAAAAATAGACATAGGCAAAATTTGATCCGCATTCAAAACGTTGTTTCGGTACTCGATCATTTGTTTGCGGTTGACATTCAGAGTTGGCTTTACATGCTAACATAACACTTTGCCATCCCTCGCCAGTTGCACATCTAACAAATTATTAAGAAATTCAGACTATATATTTGAAAATCAGATAAGAAACTTAAGTTTTACTATCAGACACAATTCATCTAGGCAAAAATACTACTACGAACAACATTTTTTGTCATCAAGAATACTTTTCTATTAATAATTTTACCTAAATAAATAAAAAACAAATTCATAATACAACATTAATATACACAAACAAATAGCAAATATATAAAAGAGCAACAATATATACACATGAGCGATGAAAAGCTCATGAAACTAAGTGAAAAGCTCCGTTTTTTTTTCTTCAAAATAATTTTCTCCATTAATGACAATATTAAAGATAACTAGTAAGGTAAGACTGTAGTAAATTAGCGATTTGAGGTCTCAAAATGCACATCTAGGTGAATGGTACAATAAGGAAAAACATTGAATATCTATGATACCTGAATAATAATAATAATGCATGAAAAAAATTTGCAAAATTATTGTGACGATTAATTTCTCTGTTAGGCGTCTCATAATTGACATTGCCAAAAACCTTTATAGGAAAATGAAAGATTGAATTGAAATAGAATGCAAACTTATCAACTAAAATATATATATAAAGAACTTCTATCATTTCTTTTAATGAGGTATGGTCTCAACTGTTATTAGAAATAGTAGTTATATAAATGGTCTTATATATTCGAAACTCGACTAGTCTATTCCACAGAGGCACAAATCTTGATAGGGCATAGAAGATCGTAATAATAATGTTCACTTTAAACTTGTTGTAACGGATGGCCCATAACGGTCACTCTTATTTTCGATAGAGAAGTTTCGACTCTACAAAATTCTGCACGTTCGATATCAACGTAATAATTCTGTGTCTAATAAAAATAGTGTTTAGTAGTGACACGTGAAAGATAAAACTGCGATTTAAATCAAAAGTTCGATGTTTTTTAGTCATTGAGTAGTTTTTTGTCGAAAATGGTATCAAAACTGAGCAAAGATGAAGTTATAAAAATGTTCAACGAATTCAAGTCTATCTCTTCTGCTCCGAAAAACACCGAAATTTAGATTCAAATCGCAGTTTTACCTTTCACGTGCCGCTACTAAACATTATTTTATTAGAGGCAAGGTCAGTACGTTGAAAGCGAACATGCACAATTTTATAGAGTAGAAAATTCTCTATCGAACGAGTTTCTTGAAACTTTAGTTTAGTTCTTCAAAATAGAAAATAAAAGTGGCCCATTTTTATCGGTCAACCGTTATTAATAGAAATCATACATCTACTGCGTGAACTAATTGAAACTAAACTTTCTATGTAATCAATAGTCAATGCACATACAAAAAAAAATTATAAAGACAAAACAAAAATAATAAAAGCTAAGAAATACTCTACTAATCAAATAACGACTTCAAAATTATACGATGTGAACACTAAATTAAAACTGATTTTATCTGAACATTATTCAAATTTAAACTATTGATGAAGAAAAACTTCATCTGTATTTCTAAATAAATCTACTATGCATGCATTTAGATGTATTTTTTTTTTAGGGGTATGCTACAACTTGCCTGAACAAGACTAACGTAGCTTTAAAAATATTATGAAAATTATTGTGATCATGGATAGTGGCTGCATGATCTACTTTAATATTTCCAAATACCTATAGACGTATCCATTATATATAGTCTTAAATTGTAATAGATACATATATACCTGCATGCCAATAATTGCGTAGATAAAAAATAACATGGCAATTAACAAGCAAACGTATGGTAAGGCCTACAATATGAATAAAACTGTCACAATGAATTCTGAAATAAGACTTCCTAAATGGAACTAGATGAATTTTTACACGTCTGAGAAAGAGACATAATTCGATAGACAAACACGCGAAAAGAAAAGAAAATTCCTTTGTCATTTTAATTTAGAGGCTAAATAACAGGTATCGAGAAGTTATACACTCTAGAGTTACAACCAGTCTAAAACTAAGGAGTCGGCCGGTTCAAAATTCGTTTTAGACCGGTGAAAAACACGACGGTTGAGAACTTTTATCAGTAAAACTAAATATCTTTAAGGAAAAAGTGGTCTTCACTAGCTTTTTCTTATTTCTCTTAATTGTTTTATCAAGAATTTCTTTTGAATGAAGACGAGAAAAATGCTAAAAATTCTAAAAATAGCAAAAAACTTGGTCGACACCGGTCGTTTTGCAAATTTTTTTCAGACAGGCAACAGACCGGCGGAGACCGACCGGTCCGAACTTTTACACTGGACCGGATCGCCACGTGACCAACCGGCCCGGTCTCAACTCTAATACGCTCTTGTAATGAGGTCAGCAGTACTACTACTCATTGGATGAGAGATACTACGTTAGCATTGGAGACTTTGATACTTAAAAATCATTCACGTGAACTGAAGATGTGTGTTAGATCGTGTCTTAGTAGCTCAGTAGTTAAAGCTTCTGGTGTGTTACCAGCGATCCTGATTCGGTTCCCGATCGAGGCATACATTTTCTTTTCATGTGTTTTATTGTCTATCAAATTATGTCTCTTTCTCAGCCATGTAAAAATTCATCTAGTTTCAACTACTTTAATGTTTCTAGTTCAAAAACTGTTATTTTCATACCTTAAATGATTGCATAAATGTCCATAATAATATACGAATTGTATAACCTTGTCGCAATAGTTTTATTAATCTTGCTGCACGAAACAATCGTAGAAATCCAAGATTCAATAAACTATTCTAAAATTAGAAAAAAGAATCGATGTGAATGAACATTTGTAGGTCTCAAGATAACTATTAAACGTTGAGTATAATCTAGTATCAATCTTTTTCTATCAATTATACGATCTAAAAGAGATTTATAGATCTTACTTTATGTTTAACAGGTCCAGGACGCGCGACCACGTTGCCACGAGCTGAACTGAACTGAAAAAATATAATACCAAAGATAACGATGATAGATCATGAATGTTTGATAATTCTGAGAAGAAAAATCATACATTAAATTCTGTTAATAATACGTCGCAAATACTTCCAATGACAGTAATAAAATCAAACACATTCCATTTATCTCTGAAATAATTCTGAAACAAGACCGAGTATAATTAAAATGTTTAGAAAAATTATGCTTAAAAAAATGTGCTTACTCTCAATCCGAATGCAATTATTTTCAATATACTTTCAATTGTGAATAATGCAGTAAATGTCGTGTTTAAATAAGTCAGAACATCGTTGTATGTTGACGGACTTTTATAATACTAAATATGTGTAGAATAGTTGGTAAATAGAATTTGTCACTCTAAATTTATCCGGTAAGCACTATCGTAGTTAGTATTAACCAGAGCTGGCCAAGTCAGAGGTTTTGCAAGTCACAAGTAAAGTTAAGTCGAGGTCAGAAAATTCTTTCTCCCAAGTCAAGTCATCTATTGAAAATTTTTTCCTTCAAATCAAGTCAGGTCTGGTTGAAAAATAGGCAGAACATAAAATTTGCTGACGCCTTTTGGATGAGAAACAGTTTTTACAGTTACAGAGACTCTATTTCATGGCAAAAAATGCCTAATTTAAACGAAAATCTCACACTAGAAATTACTTGAATTGAAAATTTTTTCAAGTCCATTTACGGTCACGAAAAAGAATCTCTCAAGTCAAGTAGAATCAAACTTGGACTTGAGGCATTTTTGACTTGACTTGCTCAGCTCTAGTATTAACGCTCAGTTTTGAGAAGCAAAGACAATAGATGTGTGAGCGCTCCCACTTTCCTAGTATAATTGTTCAACCTCAACTTTTATTCCAGTTTTATTTTTTGATGAATTTTGTAGAAAATCTGTCTTTAAAGATTGTTTAAGGGTACTCTTTCCTTCAAAAGATTTTGAAGAACAACTGACTGTAGTGTGCAGAAAATTTCAACAACTGAAGTTTGATGAGTTATGAAAAGGTTCTTCTGGAAGTGCAGTCTCGAAATCTACCATTTTAGCCTGATAGAGATTGTATCAGGCAAAAAATGGCTGTTTTGAGGCAGCTTCAGATATATTTCTTGATTACATTTAGTGCACTTTAAAAAAAAACGTGTTCTTCATGTTTTCAAAGAAAGAGTTGAAGATCTCACTTAAGTTCTTTGAAATATGAAGAACTTAATGTCTATTTTTCAATAAAAAATGAGTTTTTCACTCATTTCAGTTTTTCAGAAATTTTGCTTTTCAAGATTTGGAAAAAACACATATTTCTACTGAGTTCTCTGCAAATCTCTAAGTTGAAAAAGGAAAAGAAAATCAGATATTTCGATCACCGCTTTTATTTTGCGATTTCTAATACATATAACGAATATGATCTTCTCTTACAGAAGTTTAAACTTATTCTCAAAAATGTAGTAAATTTCTATTTATGTATAACAATGTGCACACTTCGAGCATATATTTGTCCTTGACAATAGAATTCCAAAATTCGACTCGAACTCAACGAGTCGAGTACCCATGACGTTTGAAACCTCATTCGACCCGGGTCGAATCAGGTTCCAAATGGCGATCGCATTAGGATGTGGGTTACATAGTTTTCTCTACCTGTGCAGGTTTCCAGTTGATAATATTTATACTGTATAAAAAATAATTCTAAATATGATCATAGATATCGCATTGATTAAAAACAGTTGGCTGGTGAAAAGAGGAATTAAGATCCAGATTTTTAAAGAAGACGAAGAACAGAAATGTGTTTTTCGATCTAATGTTTTCTGGAAAACAAATGTGACAAATAGGGATCTGAAAAAACCAAAACCTCAATTTCTGTTCTTGCCGAAAATGAAAATATCAGTTTTACAAATTTTCAGAAAACTTACATCAGATCCCTATTTGGGACAAATGAAAAACACAGTTCCAATTTTCTGAAGAAGTCTTCTTTTTTAGAGTGTGGAAATTTTTAAATTCTTTCCACACTTAGCATAAGTCCTTCTTGAATAAAACGTTGCCTACTCTGTGAACGAAAGAATACTAAAGAGCTTTTGATATTTTTGTTAGATTCACTAACGATATTGATGATGCTCGGACTTTGGTTTCACAATTCTGCTTTGTACAAATCTCAGGGTTCCAAATGGAGTTGAGACGTTTTCGTCGGAAACAAAAAGGCAGACTTTTCAATTATAAGATAGGAAATCACCTCCATACACATACACTTTATTATTTAGGGCCCTGTCAAGCCTGTAATGAAATCTAAATGACTTAATCTTTTGTACTGAAATTTTGAGCATATACACTAGAAAGAAGCACCACAACGAAAGAGAACATCTTCCTCATATCTTTCATCTTAGATTCTCAAGACAACAGCGTTAACACCAACTTTGATAGTGATGCTTTTCAAATAATTTTTAGAATCCACTGTGAACTTACTTTCATCATCAACACAAATGTGTTTAATGCTATCATGACCATAATAAAATATTCAAAATAAGTTGAAACAACTAATTGCCATATACGATAACGTAATGAACTTTCCTTTTTTGGTTTAAATCGTTGAATTGGCTTGGCATTTAGTGTAAAATCAATGCAAGATTTCTAAATTATATTTTATAATATAAAAATTCTTTATTAAATATTAAACATTAATTTACCTGATTTTTATTAATTTCTGCTTCTTCTAATTCTTTTTGTCCTTGATCTTGAAATGTTATAATAATTAAAGCAACAAATATGTTTACGAAAAAAAATGGAAATACAATGAAATAGATAACATAAAATAAAGCAACTTCTAAACGATTTCCAGGTCGTGGACCCAATTGAACACCTGTAGCATCAATCGAATGTTGAAGAACTCTAAAAATAATTACACAAAATTCTAGATAGTAATTCAGAAAATCCTCCATAAAAACACATTACGTTGGCCAGCCTTCACCAGTTTGAACGGTAAATAATGTTAATATTGCAGATGGTACACTATCATATGTAAATTCATATGGTTCCCATGTTCGTTCTTTTTTTTCTGGTTTTGTTTTACCACTACCAAAATTGAAATACCAACCTCTGTAACAAAAACAGATATGAAATTTTTTTTATTATTCTCAAAATCATTCTGCAGTGATCAAGTAGACGTCAAACGTACTTGCAATCATTTTCATTTAATTTTGATTTATCTGAACAATGATAAAATTTTCCTTTAAATAATTGTACAGCCATAACAGCAAATATAAATTGAAATAACATGTACACAATAAGTATTGTTAAAACGTTACTCAATGACGTTATAACACAATCAAATACAGCCTAAAAAACGATTAAATAAAATATTATATTCTCATCAACATCTGACAGATAGAAATAATACCTTTAGTTTTGGTACACGATTAATGGTTTTTAGTGGTCGTAATACACGAAGTACACGAAGAGATTTAATTGTATTCAAATTTTTACCAGCACCATTTTCACTAAAATTCACTATTATTTAGAATGATATAGAAATTAATTATCGCTTATCACTTACGTAAATCCGAACGCAACAAGTGCACATATAACAACCAAGGCATCGAGAATATTCCATACATCTCGACAATAAGAGCCAGGATGAAAAATAATACCCAAATCAATTATCTACAAAAAAAAAAAAAAATGTGAGAAGTATGAGAAATAATTAACTAATACATCTTACCTTTAGAATAAGTTCAACGGTAAAAACTCCCGTAAATGCATAATCTAAATAATTTAATATTTTATTTCTGAATGAAAATTCATGAACAGGATCTTCGGCGGCTAAAGATATTGAACTTAAACAAATAACTAACATAATAAATGTATCAAAATAACGTAGATTAACAATAAAATGACAAAATTTTCGCACACTAAAATAAAAAGAAAGAAAGAATGTATAATATGATTAGATAAAATTAATACAAATAAACATACGGATTTGTGGAACTAAATATAAACATTGAACTAAATGGTAGAATAGGTTTTTCGATCACTTTAGCTTTTTCTTCTTTCTTTTTCTTTTCAGCTAGTTTCTCTTGTTTTATTCTATCAAGTTCTTTCTGATCAGTAACTTTTACATTTTTTGACGGTAATTCATCAAGTGATGCTAAAAATAATTTTATTGATAGTTATTAGATATTAAAACATCATGAATAAATGTTATACATACATGGTATATAAACTGGTCCAAATTCATAGTCTAATCCTGGTATATTATCTAAATTTGTTTTTTCAAACAATTGTTTATCCAAATAAGATGATTGTTCTCGAGTATCAGGAATATCGAATGCTTGTTTAACAGCATTTTCAACATAATCATGTTTGACACTTAAAATTATATTCAGAGAAATATTTTTATCATATGAAAAATACTTTTTGAACTTACGTTTGCCGTAAATTGTTGTGTTCTAACATTTCTGGCTTTTTATTATGTGCCGTTGTTGAATGACCATTTGTGCTGACATGTGCTTGTTTAGCTGATGCAGTTGTTGATGGTAATGTATGTGATGTTGAACCACCACCCATTTTAAACATTGATTCAGCATCTTTTGCTTCACGTTCGCGTTTCTGAAATAAAAAATATATCAATTGTTTTTACAAATTTTTACTATGTGAAATATAGTCAAATATCTACTTCTTCTTCAGCAGCTGCTTCCTCTTCTTCATCTTTTGTTAATTCATGTGCATTTGCCAAATTATCCACAGCAATGGCCAAAAATACGTTCAACAAAGTATCTATCAAATAATTGTTAAGGAATATAGTATCATGAGAAAAAATGAGTTTTCGGTAGTTTGCTTTTAATGAAAAGGATACAGTTACCAAATAGTACTAATATAATAAAGTAGAGTGAATAAATCATGCCTGTTCCACCTGCTCCACCCTGAGAATGGATACCATTATACATTATTTCGTTCCAATCTTCACCAGTTAAAATCTAATGAAAAAATACCTTAACAATTGTTGTTAAATACTTATCTTTTACCAAAAACGAATGAAATTTTTTCGGAACAAGTCAGTAGATCTTTCAAGAATTTTTTTACTAGATCTCTGTTTTTTTGTCATTATGCAGATTAATTAAAAAAATTCACCATAGTTAGCATACAATCTGAAAAAAATTGTAAAAATATACCTGAAAAACAGTAATTAGTGCTGTGGCAAATTTATTAAAATTTTGTAATGGTGTTTCGTCTTCAAAATTAAATCTAAACAAATGTATACCACATAGAACATATTCATCGTTCTTCAATGGATAACATACTCTCCACCAAATAATTGCATTCCCAATAAGGCAAATATCAAAATGAACAAGAAGAGAAGAAATAATAGCGAGACAATTGAACGCATACTACTAAGTAATGATACAACAAGATTTCTTAATGATGCCCAATGTCTAAAATTTAATTTTATATATTTAATTGAAAAACTTTAATTCTTGATACAAAACATTGCTTACCTTGTCACTTTAAATATTCTTAATAGCCGTAATGAACGTAACACGGATATACCAAATGATTCATCTGGTTTAAATGCTGACCATATCACTTCAAATATTGAACCAATAATAACCTTTAAAAATTTATGATCACATTGAGATACACTATTCATTTTAAGATAGTCATCAATACTTACAACAAAATCAAATATATTAAATGATGAGGCAAAATATTGGGAAACACCTAGACCAAACATTTTGAGCAACATTTCAGATATAAATAATCCGAGAAATACAAATTCAGCATAATCTATAGAAATACACAAAAAAAAAAAAATATTTTCTATTCTATTTTTACATGATACAACTTACATAAAAATGAATTTAAAAATTGTGGTTGTGTATGATGTTCAATTGCCACACAAACAGTATTCAAAAACACCAAAACTATCACAGTCCAATAGAAAACTTGTGTTTTAACTAATAAACGAATTTTACTTCTATAAATAGATTTCTAAATTAAAATCTAACAAAAAAATATAAACTAATAATATTTTTACCTTAAAATCCTGTGACGAAACCAACATTTTCTCATTACACTTCGTGTACGATCTGGTCGTTCTAAATCGACACCGCGTGCACGATGAAATGCTGAATCTAAAAATTTATAATAGAAATTTTATTAGAAACTTTATATCCATGAGTTGAAAAAACGTTTTTAATAGAAACGAGCATTCACTACTCTCGTGAAATGTATTTCATAATATACTACGAGAGATAATGTGTTTTAAGTTTATATGTTACTATTAAAACATTCATACCAATATCTTCATCATCATCATCAACGCTGTGTTGTTTTCCCGTTCGTCCATGCCTAATTTTTTTTAAAGCAGCATATTTACGAGCTAAATAGGAACATTTTCATTAAATTATTAGACTAATATAAGCAAAAGTCTATTTTACCTTCTAGTATTGCACGACGTTCTTGTTCCGTTGTTCGTTCTTCATTCAATATAACATCTTCTGCATAAAAGTATATCAATATATTTTAGAAACTTGTAACCATACTCTTTCAAATAACAAACCTGCTCTGTTTATCCATTCAATATAATTATTATATTCACGTTCAATTTGTTGTTGACGTCGAATTTTTAAAAAGGCACGGCGATTTTCAACACGTTCACGTTCTTTAGCAAATTCTCTATAAAAATAATCAGAGTCTTAGTAAACAAAAACTTACATTTTTAATTTTTTGACAAAACTTTACCCACTAAGAACACCAAGAACTAAATTGAGCATAAAAAATGAGCCTAGTATAATTAATGGGATAAAATATAACCAATTGAAATAAGTTCCAACAGCATCATTTGTCTAGTAAAACGAAATATATGTCAGTTCATATACATCTTTTTTTCTCTTTCTCTCTCTCTCGCTCTACCCAATAGAGTATTTGTGTCCATCCTTCCATGGTAATGCATTGAAAGACCGTTAACATTGCATACCCAATATTGTCAAAACTTGTTATGCCTTTATTTGGACCTTCCCAATATTCACGACAGACTAGCGTCTCATTAGGAATATTGCAAGTATAAACACCTTAAAAACCAAATTGAGTATTGTTGATTGATTACAGTCGAGCTTCCAACATTACCTTGTTTAAATGTTGAATCTATTGAATTAAAAATTGAAAATATAAATATATTGATTGCACATGAGATCAAAAGAATAGACAAACCTGGTATACCACAGGGAATAGGTTTTTGCTCATCGCCTTGTTTATACATCACTGAATAAAGAACAAAAACTATTATCACTTGTAAAGTAAATTTGATTTTATACTTACATTCTTCACTATCATTTTTAGGAGCTGAAATAAATGAAAAAAATATTATTAATCTTCATAAAGAATTCTACTTTGGTAAACTATCGATCGCATTAGAATATTTCATAAAAAACTAGACCGAAGAATTAGTAAAACCCTCATTTTTAATAGCTATCTCTTCTATTTAATCCCGTCATTATCCCTTTAAAAAAGAATCAGGAAGCAAAAACCGCCTTCGGACAAGTAAAACAGTGTTTTATTTCATCATATCATAATAATACGTATGTCTACAAAAAATAATACGTATAGTTATCATTAAATACGCACACAGATAAATTTACCTGTTCGATTAACGTAAAAGCATGTTGTATGAAAAACACCATTATATAGCTCTAAACCAATAATAGCAAAAATAACAATAGCAAATAGCACCAATAAAGCTATCTGAAATAGAGGAGCCATAGCTTTGAGAATGGATTTCAACACTACTTGAAGACCTAATAATAAAAAATAAAAAATCTAAATTGATAACACAAATCATCGATATTATTCTCTTCTTTACTTGGAATGCCAGATACCAATTTTAATGGTCTTAGTACGCGTACAGCACGCAATGTACGAAGATCAAATGAACTACTTTTAATACTTATTGTTGTTAATCTAAGTAATATAGATAAAAACACTAAAAATTATCATTAACAACATTAAAACATATAGAACTAACCCTGTGACTACAACAACAAAATCCATTATATTCCACAGACTTCTTAAATATGATCCATCATGTAAAACAAATCCTAATGCGATGATTTTTAATGCCGCCTCAAAACAAAATATTCCAATAAAATAAACTTCGGTTTTTTCCTATAATAGAAAATCAAAAAAAAAACATTAATACAAATATTAAGCAAATTTATGTCATTTTATAGACTTACCAATGATTTGGCTAACGTTGATTTATCGTCTCGCGGTAAATGTTCTTCTAATGCAAGTACAATACAATTAGCTATAATAGTTAGTAATACCATGTACTCAAATGGACTAAATACGTAGTTAAGGATATTTTAACTGAACCTTAGACAAAGAAGTAGACAATAGGATAAAAAGGGTAAATATATTACATACTGCTTTGTTGTAAAAAACTTGACCTTTTATCGGAAGTGTTTAGAAAAATGAAACAAATTATTAAGGATACTTCCATTCAATAAATGACATTGCGCGTTTTCTTATCCAATTTTTTTTTGAGAATATAAATAATGAACTATCGGTGGAACTATTTATCTGACTAATAAGATGTTTTAATTTTGCTTTAATATTTCCATGTCTATCACCACTGCTACCACCACCCATATTGTGTGGATCACCACGTGTCAATGATAATATTGTTTGACCGTGATCGGGTGCATTTTTCAACACTCTAAGAACATGAGAAACATCACCCAACATAGCCATAATAACAACTATTGTTCAATTTAACACAGTGTGATAATCATTTTGTTTCTCTCGTATATTACAGTTACGTTAACAGAAATAATACGTGTGAATAAATAATCAGACACAATTTTTAACAATGTAAACACTTTCAATGTAATAAAAACGTAAATCGATAGTTATTACTGGTATGTTCATTAGACAACCATCGATTTTCTCTCTTTCCCTGTGTGTGTTTCTTCATTTTCAACAACAAGTGAACGAGATGCATCATCAGAGAACAACAAAGAAAAAGCATAAAGACATTTTTCTCTTTTTTTCTATAGATTTTTTGAACACGCCTTGAAAAATGGAAAAAAAAACGTTGTCGGAATTGTGACAATACATAAATTTATCTTCTTTTTTTTTCCCTATTCTTCAGCGCATGTGTTTATCCTACTGTAGTTGCAGAATATTTTTTATGCATGTTTGCAAAAAAAAAAAAAGAAGAAAAGCGAGTTATTTTTTTTTTCTTTATTCAGTTAAAAAAGATGATGTTGATGGATGCATGCATGATTTTCTCAGAAAAAGAAGTAAAACAAGTTTGTATTACACAAATCTTCATTAACAGCTAGCTACGTTCAATTAAAGAGAGAGAAAGAGAATTTTTTTCTAACAGGGATTATTGTTTTTTAACATGTGACAAATCGAGAACTCAATGTCAAAATTAATAAAAATAAAAATACACCCTTTAAACAAGAATATTTAAATGCTTTTTTATTTGCTTTTTGAGAAAACAGAAAAAGAAGATACTTCAATCTCTCATGCAAATTACAATTTTTAGATTAATCACATCAATTAAGTTATCATGCGCTCACTTAGAATGTCATGCAATCAACAAATCAATTTTTAGTAAATGGTATAATCAATCATCGACAAAACAGAAAAATAACTATATAACTAACTATAGAAACTACCCGTATATTTTGTGATTCTCTGTGAAACCCATCGTCGCTAAAATTTAAGCGAACAACAGTATAGTAGCGATACATCTGACAACGGAAGCAGAATCACATCAGATACAATCCATGCGAAGAAAATCGCTTGAATTTTGACAACATATCGTGATACGCTTAAAAGTCGATGATTCGTCGCGAAAATCGATGATTCTGATTTTTTCTAAAAACTCGCTTTAGTGGACGACTAATCGGCTTTCTATTTATTCATCGTTTTGTTTTGCAGTTGAATAAGTATATAATAAACACAGAATGTCAAGGAAAATTGCCATGTTTTTTAGATTAATTTTTCAGTCGTAGGATCATGTCTGATTCTCGTCAAAGTTAAGTTGTGCACCGAAGAGTCAAACAAGGCTCTGGACCGGCTGGTCGAAGTTTGACCTTCGACTTCAGTTAATTGCATTGTCATAAGATAGTGGCTAAACATTAGTACACCACAAAAACTAGGAAAAACCAAAAAAAGGATGTTCTTAGGACAGATTTGAACTAAGGAACGCAAAATGAAACAATAGCCAGAATGTCGCGACTTGTCGTCTAAAATTCTAAAACATTGCCAGAAAGTCGACGACTTCTTGCGACATGTCGGCCGCGGTATTACCGACATTTATCACATGACAATCGTGCAATAAACTAACAGTTCATCGCTTCTACTATACCTATTTTTTCTATATACTTTTGAATGAAAAGTCAGAGGCTTGAATTTTGGTGGATTATGGGAGGGTGTACACCCCACCAAAATATAAAAGTTTTTCATTTCCTCCCAGCGGAATTAAAAGCGTTTTTTGTTTTAACAGAAAAAAAATTTTTCGCTGCAATAGACATAGAAAATTTTTTACACCTCCCCAAAGTTCACTCCCTATTCAGACCCATGTCAAGAATTAAATTATTTTGTCAATTTTTTGACGTACTTTGGAAGTCTATAAATGTGATTCTACATATGAACAAGTACTTAAATTATATTTCAGTCAATTATGTAAAGTTGATGTTGAATTACACAGAAAAAATTAGTAACAGTAAGTTGGACAGTTGATTGAACAGTAGTATACATATGAATTTTAGATTTCTATTTTTTATGTTGTTGTTTAATTAAAAAATTTTTTTTTAATGTTTATCAAGCCACTAGGTACTTAGAACAGAGAATAAAACTTTGAAACAAATATTCACTTATATTCTGACAAATAGCTAAGAAAATCCATCAATTTTCAGTATAGAATTTTCAAAAGACCTCATAGAAACCTCTAGAGATCTTGAAAATGTATTCATCATATTCAACATCGAATTTTGCCTATTCCACATTAATTTCATTTACTTACTTTTATTGAAAGCTGTAAGTTTTATTAAAAAATGACTTGTCCGATTTATGCAGGTACAGAGTTTTCTCAAAGAAAACGCTCTATCTCAGTGAAGAAACAAAATCTGAAAAAAGGATACTTAACTTTTTACATGCCGACGTGGCGAATCTAACACTGTAAAAATTTTGGGTTCATCTTATGTCTAAAAAGGCTTAAAGCTTTTGGCAGTAGCCGATGAAGGATTTCAGCATGGTCGAAAAACTTAAAATTTTGATGTTCATACGATACTTGAATGATATCGAAAGTATATTTTTCAGTTTCGATTTTTCTCGTAAAACAAGAACAAAAAACCTACAAAATCTCCAAACACATTTTGTTCGAGATGTACGCTCATTTTTAACACAAAGGCCATTTTTCTGAGTTTTAAAAATTTCAGTTTTTTTAAATTTTTGACCACAAATTTTATTTTCGGAAGGCTAAAACACACATATGTTCGTCGAGCTCTACTGAATCATGTATAAATATCGAAAAAATACATTGCACTCAAATTTTGAATTTCTGGAATTTTTAATTCAAATTATCAATTTGATAGAGAAATTTTCAAAGCTTGTTCGACGAGAATCGATTGCAGATTCGATATTCTTCATAATCGATTACCTTGTGCGCAACAACTTGGGATCAGGATACTTTCAAAAAATTTTCTTCTATGTAAAACTTATTTGATAAAACGCTGAAGAATATTATTTTAATAGTATTCCGATCCAAAAGTTATTGTGTACTAGAAAATCGACTATGGACAAGACGAATCTGCAGTCGATTATTGTTGAACAATCTTTAAAATTTTTCGATCAGAATTCGTGCTCCTCACATCATGAAGGCATATTTCCACGATATAAATGGGGCATTTCAAGTTAAAACTATAAGCTAAATTCCTACGTAGATTCTAACATCTTTAACTTTTCTACAATTGATACAAGAAAATAGAGCTTTCAACATATAATCATCCAACCTCATAAAAATTCCACCTTGTTGAGCTGAAATTTGCTATCCATATTCGTCACCCCCATTTTATATCTATCTTTTTTATTTCACAAAACCTCCTTCATTGCAGTTAAATTGCTAAAAATTGCAATGGATTTGAATTTTAACATCTTTTAGTGATATTTCGGTCGTAAACGGCCATTTTCCAACTTTCTTAGAACAATAACTGTAGATACAACTGTGAGATGCTATTTTTTTTTCCTTAGTTCGTGAACAAAGAATGAAACATTTAATTTTAATTATGAAGTCATATTTAAAGGCTAAAATATACCGGAAAAAGATTAAAATGCTCTACAATAATAACTATTCTTTTCTGACAAAAACCGTTGCCCTTTAATTCTAAAAGCGTTGAACTCAAAAATCAAAGTTATCACAAAATTAAACATTCTGTAAGTGTTGGAAGAAACAATACTTTTTCACAGTGATTTATGATTTCTAGAGTTTTAGATATCTGTGTAAAAATTTTCGTTAATTTTCAACGTTCTCGTAGTCTGTACAGATTACTGAGGAAGATCAAAAAAAGTTCAGAACCGACTTTAAGTTTCGCAGAGAACGTATAGAATAAATAAAAAGAAGATTTAAACAACATTTTTAAAAGTTTTTTCGGCTTACTGACATCATCTGATTGGTAAAAAAGTTAACTAAGGTGTCGCTAATGCAAAAGTTGAGCAAAAAATATCTTGAAATAAAAAAAATCTCCAGAAAACCATATGGAAGATAGGCACGTTTTCCTCAGTTTTGCTTTCTTCTCAGTGGACAAACAAATAAGATTGATCTCTTTTATACTCTGTCAGGAATAGAAGTATCCATGCTCATTAGAGCGCACGGCTTGTATATATACTTCTAAAACCCCATTTTCCATGGGGAGATTTCTGGAGATCCCATGGTAATCCACCTGGAGATGCCGCATAACGTATGTCAAATTCTACACTGTTTCCCACCTAGATGGGCCTGTTAAAACTAAAATTGCATTGAGGGGGAGATGCAAAAAAATGACTGGTCTCCTTGTCGTTGGTCTCCAGTAAATCTCGCTTTTCTTAGCGAGGGAATGGAATTGAAAGCATGCAATTGTGAGCATACATAACTTTTTTCCTTTTGACCTAGCGGTTCGAATGGTATATGTAAAATAATTTTAGCTCTTACGGCAAAAAAGGAGATGGTTTGCAAGATCCACGTGTCAGTCTGATCATAAGCCTTGTTGCACTAGGCAAACCGGACCATGGCGATCAAATTTTCCCAAACCCACGAAGATACCTTTAGTTTTTGGATGCGGAATTTGAATAAAATAGTTTCAACAAAGATTAGTCAGTGAAACATGAAGCAATGTTCGATTTACAAGAAAACGGGCGATTTTTCATTCTTAAAATTTCGTACCCAAAACATAGTCTGAAAAAATTAAAAATAACATATTCGTAATAAGCTTCGCGAGCTCTATCCAACCATGTATAATTCAAAGAAATCTATTTTTTGCCCAATTTTGCATTAGCGTCACCTTAGCTAAAAAATATTGTTAAATTTTTTACTACGAGATCACTATTAAAAGCGTTCCTGTCTGTTCTCCATTCATCATAAAAACTTATTTCTTGCGTAAATCGATAAAGAAATGTAAGGAAAATATTTACTAGGAGAAATAAAGTAAACATTTTTGTTATTTCCTTCTTTTAATGACTAATTTGTGCTAATTAAC